ATATTAAGTGTTGTACTAAATAATACTTAGATTGTATATAAAAATACATATTTATACATAAAAATATAGTCTTAAATGTCCATATGCTTTTTAAATTATTCATACATAGTACTACATAAATAATATTATGTAAATATTACGTATTTATAGTAGTGATATTAAGTATGCTTCATGAGTATACATTGTATACATGCGGTGGCGGATCCACAGTGTAAGAAGGGGGTCCATGGACCCCATTTAAAAGTTTATTCCAGCCCCCATTTTACTAAACCAGCCCCTCAAAAATTCATCTTTTGTTGAAATTATACCTATTGGCACCAACTTGTGCTGAAAAAAACTATTTTTATAACATTTTTAACAGAAAAAACTCCCAAAAAATCTCAAAATTTCTGATTTTTTCTACTTTCAAATTTTTGTTTTATTTTTTATATAAGATGGACCCCGGTAATAAATTTTTCTGGATCCGCCCACTGTATACATGACGATTTTTATTTCAGTAACAATGTTTGGTCAGGTGGTAAAGCCCTCGTAAAACAACGAAGAGACGCGGGTTTAATTCTTGTACACATAATTTTTGTTTTTCCATTAAAATTTACGAGACCTTATAACGATATATATTATATTAGCGAAGATTGAAAATCAAAAACATGCTACCTTAATGACAACACTAAATTATAATGAATTTTCTTTTAAAAATTAATAGACCTTATAACGATATTTATATTAGCGAATATTTAAAATACTAAAGTTGATGCCTGATTACTTTAACTCTATACCTTTATTCTTGAATAATTATCATCAGCATGGCATGCATTTGCACCTCCTTCAATCTTATCTGCAATAAACATTTTTTATTTTTATACGACAAGACATTAAAACTTTTAAAAAGGAAGGGAACGAGGGATGGACCAGGGTGTCTAAAACAGAAGCAATCCCAAATACTATACCCTTTGCCGTCTGCTCTCCAACCACCTTCAATCTGAAATCAAAACATTCATATAGTTATGAAAACTATAAACTTAATCAACGCTTAGAAAATGACAACTAAACACCATCAATTGGATATTTTTTTGTGATCATGAGTGTGTCAGTGTATAAACAGATGTACACCTGGTAAGCAGATGATCCTACTCCAAAGAAGAAATCCTTAGGGAAGTCATGACGTTTGATATCAGAGGCCATGTTATCGTCATGGTCAAACTCTAACACGGTTTTACTCGTCATCACAATTAAACAACTAACCGTAGTAGGCTGGCTTAATAGAAAATCTTTAGGACTTGAATTTATAGAGTTGAAGAGATGTTATTCTCATGCTCAAATGGTCCGATATTTATACAACCACCAGTTGCAAATTAATTGCCAAGATTGATAAGATATATCGATAACTTAATGAATAAAGAAACGTAAAAGTATATCTAATTTCATATTAAATCTCTTAGATCGATAATTAACTTTTTTAGTGCTTTTCGTATGTCTAGAGAGAATTGCACGATTGTGTAGTTTATGTATAGGTAAAAGATCAAATGAGAAGCACTAAAGGTTAAGAACCATTTTCATTAATGCTATTTTTGTAAATTTAACTTTAATACTATAAAACATACATATATTTCATTGTTACAATCATATCTAACTTCTAATATTTCAAACTCTCTCAAAGTCTTCCAACATTTTTGAAGAACACAAACCCAAAGACCACCACTACCGTTGACGGCATCACCACCACCAACTACCACCGTTAGTAGCACCATTGTCGGCACCACTACAGAAAGTGGAGCACCTCCACCAGAAGATCGACGTCGCTTTCTTCATCCTCTGCCTCCGCTTCACCAGATCTACGACCACATCCATCTCTTTTACTGTTTTGCTCCGGTGAACCATCAGATCTACATCAGATATTACTAGATCTGCATCAGATCTCACCAAATTTGATGTGTTGTGCATTTTGAGGTTTGATCTGGCATCGTCTTTCCCTCCATCCCGCTGATGTTCGTTTGCCTTGCTCTGATCTACAACCACATCAACTCCGGCGACGTACCTTCTATGACGAATTTACCTTCCTCATACTCTTCCTCCATTTCGCCAGATCTACGACCGTATCCATCTGTTTCTGTTTTCCACTTCGATGAACCAACAGTCTACATTATATCTCACCAGATTTGCATTAGATCTCATCGATCTGCATCAGATCTCACCTGATCTGATGTGTTTGTGCATTTTCAAGTTAGATTCGGCTAACCACCACTTCTGACGCGATTGAAAGAGTTCCTGTTAGGACGAACAACGAGATGACGAATGCGGAATCTAAAGAACAATCATGAATCAATCACCATAAAGTTGCAAGTAATATGTCAAATGTTTTATCTCTCACTGATTTGGAAATGAACGTATAAAGAAACCTTTTTGGGAAAAAGCTTACCTAACAAGCTAAGCTAATGACTATAGATAGGGAAAATAAAATATTTACCAAAAATACAAAACTCTAAATAGTCTTCGATAATTAATAAAAATGTCAAATCAGTTTCAATATCTCAAATACTCAACAATCTCCCCTAGATATTGAAACTGATAAAGATCACGATTTTCAATCTTCTTGGCATTTCTCCCCCTAAATTGTGAGACTCATCAAAACATGGGGTCTTCAAAGAGAGATAATCAAATATCATCTTCCAAATGCGAACTCCCCCTTAAATAATCAACACTCCCCGTTGAATCTTCAACAAGTACCATGCAGAGAAATCGGAAAGTTGAGAAGAATCACCAACAACCTACTCTATCACAAAGAGCAAGTTCGCTAAACCTACTCTATCACAAAGAGCAAGTTTGCTAATAACCTACTCTGTCACAAGAGCAAGTTCTCCAATATGGATCTTCAAAACCCATCAGATTTGAACAAATGATGAAATAAAATCTTAGATTTTCGGGTTTTAGAGGTTTAGACAAAAAGAAAAGAATAAGAGACAATTATTAGAAGGGTTTAGAAAAAATTAGACCAAAGAAAAAAAGAAACAAAAATACTTTGAGTAGAAGGGGTAAAAGTGGTAAAACCCATAAAATCGTAAAAAATTAAGACATGGTGTAGAATCTGCTAAGCTATATAAACTCTGGGGACTGAATTTGTAAATTTGACCATCTTCTTCAATGAACAGAGAAAAACCTGATCTTTGACTTTGAAAAGTCAAAATCAAAATGATTTCCGATTTTAGATGATGTTCCAATCAAGAACCAATTTGTGAATAGTGAGTGCGTTAATTACTCCGATTTCGATTTCTGAATTCATTAATTCCGATTCCGAATTTCAAGTTTTGATTTTGGATTTCCGAAATCAAATTTCGTTTTCTTTTGTTCGGACTGTAAATTCGATTCTAATTTCAGAATTCCAATTACAGAATTTCGAATGCAAGTTGATGTCGGAGTGGAGCCAATTCTGATTCCGAAACGAACTTCTGAAACAACATCACCAAAATCCGATTCCGATCATGAGACTTCCAATTTCTGAATGAAAGCTGTTTCTGAATCTTAGATTCCGATCTGTTCCGATCGTCGGAACTGTTCGGTTTATGAACAGTATATTCCGATTTCTGAATTGCTTTTCCGATTGGTGGGAACTGCTTCTGATCACTAACTTTAGCTTTGACCACAATACAGAATTGGACCCTTATATTTCAATGAAACAACAGTTTTGACCCAAAGTTCCGAACAAACATCCATTTTTGTTTACAATTCCGATTTTGACCTCTTTTAAAAGTCGTTTTGACAGCTTGCATCCACCTGTTTCCAGAAATGTCAGATTTCAGCCTCACCTTTTGCATAAAATGTCACTTTTTCACTTTTTGACTGTTTTTCAAGTCACTTAGCGAAGGTTTTATCATACCATATATTGAGCATACTATAGGTCTTTCTTCGAATGATTTCACTATAGGTCTTTTATTCAGAATGGTTTCAATCATCTAAGGCAACCTCAATATCCATCTTCGCAATCTCCAGGATGTAGCATTTGATCATCCTCTTCATATGATTGAAAATAGGCTCGTATTTATTCACATCCTTCGCAATTTTGTTGAATAACGAAATCCAATCATATGGATTCATGAAAGGCAAATCAGCTAAAGTAAACTCATGAAGTACATGATTCGAACCCTGATATCCTTTGAAGTGAATATTTGGAAAATCTTCAGTCTCCACAGGAAGTCCAACCTTCAAACCTACGATCCTCTTTAGACTCCAAGACTCGTACTGAGGCTTCCCATGCTTAAGATAAAAGTTGAAGAGTTTTATGTTGATCGTGATGTTGGAGTTTGGGGACTTCTCAATCTTCTGGAAGCATCTGAAAAGAAACGCTCGTGGGGTGAGGGGAAAGTATAATCGGCATTCGATATCATTACAGGTGTCAAATGATGTCTTCTTTTCCAACCAGTTTCCGGAAGATCAATGGCTTCCTTCTGAATTCGCTGAATAGTCCAAGCAGGAAACAAGGACTTCTGACTTTCCAAAATAAAAGCTGAATTTTAACTTCAACATCTTCTGCATCAAGCTTTTTTCGGAGAGCATTGAGGTCATCAAGCTCTTTATCTCGTTTCTTTCTTACAAGCCTTTCTGATCCAGAAAATTTTTCTTCTTCATCAATTTCTTTTCCCTTATCTTTCCTTGATCCAGAAGCTACATTAACCTTCTGATCAATATCTTCGTTCACATTAACTTCCTCTTCTCCCCCTTGTTTCGAAGGAGCACCGCTTCCCGAAACACCAAGGATTTGATTCAACAGAGAGAATATTAGATTAAGTTTTTCAGATAGAGCAAGACGTACTGTATCATTGAATGGAGGAGATCTGGTCTCAACGATTCTCGACAATCGTTGATGAATTTCAGAATTGCGAGCCTTGACAGAGAACTTCTCCTATTGTAGCCTAGCGACCTCAGATTTAGCATACTTCAATTTTTCATTCAAAACTTTTGCCTTCTGAGTTTTCTCCGCTAAGGCATCCATTATTTTATTTTCTTCTGCCAAGTCAGCCTTTAATTTATCAAGTTGAGTGGTGATGGTTGAGTTCCAATCGACATTGTCAAGCTTGATATCGGCATGAATTTTTGATAGACCTTCTTTCTCAGCTTTCAAAGAGGAACTAAAACCTTCAATAACCTTATTCACATCTGTTGTGCTCTTGTCCAAAGAGGTCCTAAAATATGCCATGAATTCTTTGACTCCGGTTTGTAAGAGTAGAGCCTTTTCCACAGGTTCAGTTATTTTCTTGTATGAGGCTTGGGCAGCCTTAGTGGATTCTTCAATGACCTTGGAATTTTCAGATGTGAGCATCTCCACTATTGCTCGATGAGTAGTCAAAAGATTTTCCCACTTAGAAGACGAGAAGGCTTGAGAGTGATCTAAGAGTGAGTCAAGCTTTTCGGTTAACTGCTTGAACTGTCCCTTTGTCATGGGAGCTTCGTCTTCATCACTGTTGATGTTAAGTTTGAAGGGCTGAAAAACGATGTCCTCGATGGGTTCTTGTTCATCTCCGAATAATATATCTTCATCCCCTTTAAAAGGAGAAACGATTGATGTGCCTAGTTCGGAAGTCACACCGATATTGGCATTTTCCCCCGTATCGGATACGTTGACAATGATGCATGTAGTTTGTATCTCCTCCGGAACAGATTTGATTACAGGGACTTCCGGTGGAGTTGAGAATGATGATGTAGTAGGAGTGGTTGAATCAGAAAAGATAGGTGAGGATAGAGGGATTGAAATCCGCGGAAGAGAAATTCCAACATAATTCATTGGTGGTAAAGGAGGGATGGATGATATCGAAATTATGGATGTAGTGGGTGAGGATTGTTGGATTTGGTGTTTAAGCCCATAACTATATCTGGTATGTACTTGACCCGATTGTAGCATGGTCCTTTTGGGGCTGCCTTCACCAGTGCAATTTGATAGGATGGACTTTTGAGAACAAGATTATTGGTGATTTATTAATATATTATAAGTATAATATATTAATTGAGAAATCATATTATTTAATTAGTGTTGGTCAAGAATCAATTTGGAATTAATTTTGTGATCAAAAAGTGACTAATTAAAACTAAGGGGTTGATTATGTAAATCATCCATTCTTATAGTGTGGGCCAAAGATCTATTAGGGTGGGCTAAGTGGTTCGTGGATAGTCCATGGAGCTTTAACCCATGGAGCCTAAGGGATATGGAAGGTCATGGTGCATTAGGGTTTCATGGATGAAACCTTAGCCTTGAGAAACACTATAAAAACCTCCCCTTGGTGTCAAAATTGGTTGCACACATGTACACAAGTGCATATAACCGATTTTGAATCTACAAGTCTTATTCTCTTAAGCCTCCTTTGCATATTGGTGTTTGTGACACATTAGAGGCACAACATTTGAGGTGCTCAAGCTTCCAAGGTCAAGAACTACACAAGAGGTAAGATATCTAACTAGTTGTTACTTTAAATTGTATGCTAGTTAAGTTATAGGCTTTGGAAATTTGAAAATGCATGTATAATTAGAGAAAACATAGTTCCAAATCATCTAGGGTTTCATGTGCACCATAGGAGTGTTATAGTGCTTAAAACCCAACAGTGGTATCAGAGCCTATGATTGCTTTCTATTATATTTGATGCACACTTGTTTTCAAAGCTGAAAAATCGACTTTTCTGCACTCTGACAGATGAACTCGCTGAGTCCCATGAACAGACTTGCCAAGTCCACTCAGTATGGCATCAACTCGGCAAGTCCAATTCATGTACTCGACGAGTTGGTGCTCCCATGTGTCACACCCCCAAACCAAGGATGGCGGAAATGTCCGGGGGTGGAGGACTTCATGTATAGTATCATA